CTCATTCATCCGGCCTTTGCTGGGCGATTGCGGGCTAAAGGAGGAGGGAGCCGCACGCAGCGACTTCAAGCAACAGTTTGCAACCCTCGTGTGATAATATCTTTTTTTTTTTTTTTTTGGTAGTGTTTTTTTGCAGCGTGCCGGCGCCATGCACCCGGCAGCCGGCGGCTTTCGGCCGGACGAAGAGCCCCTGATCGAGGAGCCCTCAGTGAACAGGTACAGGGCGATTGCGGGCTAAAGGAGGAGGGAGCCGCACGCAGCGACTTCAAGCAACAGTTTGCAACCCTCGTGTGATAATATCTTTTTTTTTTTTTTTTTGGTAGTGTTTTTTTGCAGCGTGCCGGCGCCATGCACCCGGCAGCCGGCGGCTTTCGGCCGGACGAAGAGCCCCTGATCGAGGAGCCCTCAGTGAACAGGTACAGCCAGCAAAAGCCAAGCGACCGCTTACATGGGGCCTACGTTATTTTTTTCCTCCTGGGCATCGGGTCCCTACTGCCCTGGAATTTTTTCATCACGGCAAAGCACTACTGGATGTACAAGCTGCAAAACTGCTCGGATCAGGCAAGCCCGGCAGGACAGGCACCGTCCGATCTGCGGGTGAGTGTGTTGCTTTCAAGGCAGAAAAAAAAAAAAACTGGTTTCCTTCCTACCCTGCTCTTTTTCCCCTCCACTACCCCAGAAGGTGGGTGAACACACTCTGGAGTTTTGCCTGCTGCAAACCAGGGCTAGTGGTTTATTTAGGGAGCACAAATAGTGGCAAGAAAGATGCTTAAAACTAAAAGGTGTAGCACTTTGTGGTCTGTCTTTTACCTGCATTTGAAGTGCATTTAAAGAATTTGGCCGTAGCTGCCCTATAAGCAAGGCTGCCTTTCATCGGACAACTTCTACGGTGCAAGGTAAAAATCTCTGTGGTTTTTGGGGGTTTTTTTGTACTTCATGCTTGGTGAGCCCCCAGAACCCCTCAGGCCTCTGCACTTTCCCAGCTGGACTCGGCCACAGCTCCGTGTGGGCTGGGACATAAATTGCCCCGAACTTCTGGCCCTGGGGTGAGGCATCGAACGTGTTGTAGGCATTGCTGGCCCTCGCTGGCTGGCGCAGCACACCCTTCGGAGGCGGCTGCGAGGCTTTGCCAGCCCTGGAGCGCGTGGGCTTGCGGTGGTCTCGATTCCCTGGATGCTTTACTGCTTTTCCTTCGAGATCTGGCGGGTGTGACCGGAGTATCTCCTTGCAGCGATAAACATCTGGCTTTTGGCATATGGGATGAGGAGCTTGGCACGGGACGATTGATGGGCAGGCCTTGGGGCGGCAGGCTGGATGGCCTCTTTTTTTTTTTTTTTTTCCCCCCCCCCCCAAAAAGCCGCCTTCTCTTGCTCCTCCTGCCACAGCAGGATTATTTCCCTGTGTCCCCCCTGACAAAGCAATGCCATTTCTTTGTGGCTAGAAAAAGCGTCAGTATGATGAGGCTGCGTCCCGTCCTCCTCCGGTTGCCGAGCTTGTTCAGGTGGTTTGGGCACATTTTATTTTTATATAAACACAGAGCCACGTGTGACACCCACGTTTTCTCTCTGATTTCTCGCACCAGTACAATATCCACGGCTTTTAATTCTAATAGTTGCTAAGCTGGCTGTGTTTTTGATGGGAAGGAAGCAGAGTGTCACCGACAGTGCCTGTACCAGGATGCTGAAGTGCCGGTGTGCTGGTGTAAATCGAGGTACTGGGTGGATTAAACTGACGGAGACGAAGTCCCCGTGGTGCCCGAAGACCACCAATGCTTGCCCCTGTGCTAGCAAGGATGCTCAGAGAGGGGGGGGCGAAGGGTGTTCCGCCAGCACGCAGCGTGATGTCCTCCCACGTTCCCTGCATCCCACCCACTCCTCGTGGCTTCTGCGTCAGGCTTATCCAAGGCAATTCTTGAAAAAAAAACCCTGTTTTCAAGTGGAATAAGTATCACTAGGTGTCTTCTTCCGGAAAACTCGTGCACAGCTGTATTGCTGGCCAGAGCAGCCATCGGTTTATTGAAAAGATGTTTCTCCTCTTTCTGCGTGGCCGTGCCGCAATGCTTTTTACTTCCTCCGGTGAAAAGCAACCTGGCTTTTCCATGGTAGCGGAGTCTGATCAAAAATAAACAGTCGGCCCCGTTTCCGCCCCGGAGTGGCGAGCTACGGTGCTGTAGGCTTACCTACAAATGGAGCTCGGCTCTGGAAAGATGTGCCTGTGCCCAGCAGCCTGCTCTTGGCTCCAGGCTTCTCGCTGCTGCTAATTTCACGCCCCGTGCTCCAGGTAATGCTCCGGTGCCTTCAGCTGCCGCCGTGGGCCTGGATTGCTTTTCCAGCCCGGCAGGAGCCCGGCTGCCAAGTCCAGGCTGGAGCAGAATAAAAACTACTTTGCAAAGGCATCTCGGCGAATCTGGCCAATGCCGGTGACTGATTTGCCACCGTGATGCTTTGTTCTTGTTTGGGTTTTGGTGGTTTTTTATGGTCCCAAGCATGTGCTGTGCATCATGGCAGCGTGTTTGAAGATGCTGTCGTTAATACAGGGTCAGACGCCTCCGTGACGCACCTCGGCTCTGCGACTGAGGGATGACACCCTCTCCTGTGGGAGGCAGGTGTCAGGTTTGCTTTGTGGGTTGTTATTATTATTATTTATTATTAGCCAGGAAAGGTGTGACAGTCTTTCGATATCGATATTTCTCCTGTAGAACCGTGGCGGTGATGGGGAGCTTGGTCCTTGAGTCGGCCGGTCGGGGGGGCTCAGCAGAAAGGGAGAAGAAGGAGGTACAACTTGTGTAGCCAACAATGTCTGTGATGGGTGGGAGCACCCACGCAGGGAGAAGAGTTACCATCTGGGCTGGATTAACACCTACCGAGGAGGAGCGTAGTGGTGAGATGCGGTTGGCGCCTGATATTTTCCGTTGGTCCGGGCATGGATTAGATTTGCCACCAGCCATTCTGCTGCCGCATTAAACCCGCGGTGTGAAGGCTTTCCTTTTTCGCAGGAACAACAGCGATTGAAGCCTTTCTACTTGGCTTTTCTTTTCCAGCAGGGTTTGGCCCTGGTAAAATCTCCCAGTGCAGTTGCAGGCTCCTCGGTCTCTTAAATACTTCCCCAGTCCTCTTCCCACCGCTGGTGTGAGCACGTTTGCTGGGAACGGATGAATGTTTCCCCGCGGTGCTCAAAATGCAGCATCTCTGCTGGATTACTTCAAGTCCACTTCTGTTTGGTGGAAAGCATTATAAAGTCTTTTTTCCTCCTCGAAAGAAAAAGAAAATTGATTTGGAAGTATATTCAATATCCCCGGGCTGGTTTGAGGGTTTGTTTTAAGTAGGTTGGCAAATAAGCCTTAGTTTTTAGCAACCAACTTTGCGTTTTGCTTTGTCTTCTCTCCTGTAATTCATCATGTGGCCGTAGAGCTTTGGGCCTCCTGCTTCGCCAAGCCGACGCTGCGAGTGCAGGCGGTTTTGTCTCCATCTATAGGGACCCTCTAGGAGCGATTGTTAGATTTCCTGTCGCTTACGGTAAAGCTCCTGATAGGGAAGAATAAACGAACGTGCTTGTAAACTGATTAAAAGACTACGATGTAAAGCTGCAAAAAAAAAAAAAAAGGTAAGTAACATGCAGAGAAAACGTGCCAAGTGCCTTCTCGTGCGCGATGCGGCCCCATCTCTGTAGCTAGGTAACTGCAGAAAATGAAAGCCGATCGTGATGGGAGTGGATATGTAGGTCATCCTCTTTGCGAGCGTCGTCCTACCTGCTGGCTGAGATTCCCGCAGAAAAACCAGAGGATTAAGCACATCGAGGGGAGGAGATGGAGCAGACACGCTTTAACGGCATAATACATAAAATGGATTGAAAACGTAAGCGCTTGGCTGCAATCCTGGCAGAGAAATCTCTCTCTCTCTGCTGTGGTTATTGCTTTCTGCGTGCCCAGCCTGACCCCCGTGCGAGGCGGGCTGGGGAATATTGACTGATGCTGCAGCCAGCTTGCTCGGATGATATACGGATCCCCAGAGTAAGTGTGTGTTGAGTCTCAATACAGTTTCTCGATGAGTTTCGTGTGTGCAGAGAGGGAGACCGGGAGGGAAGATAACGTCCCTGTGCCCTCGCTCGGGCTGCTTTTGCTCGAGCAAGTTCTCAGGTGTGGTGACTCGGTCACTCTGCGTGGAGAGGGATGTGTGGGTTTGCTAGCCGTCGTGGGCTTTCGAGGCTCTTGGCTAATAATATTAACACTTTTGTGTCCCGATTTATAAAAACCAGCCCTCACGGAGCTCAGGTAGGTTGAAATGTTCAGGGGGTTTTTCCAGGATGCCAGAGCCAGCAGGAGAAATTCAGACTTCCTTATTTCAGGTATTTCCTTCACCATTTTTGCTTCTGAATTTGTTACGTCCGTAATTTCCTGGGATGTCCCAGGGTTGTTGCAGAATGAAAAAGCCGCGGGGGCCCGTTCCCACTGCCTGTTGTCCTGAGCAGCTTTGCAACGTGTGCCATGGTGCAACGAGGTGTGGACGCCTACATCCTCACTCCCCATGCGTGCCGTACCGTGCTGTATTTAGGACCTGAGATTCACGTGTTGTTCCTCCCTCACCATTTTTTCTTTTTGGGGTTTTTTTTTTTTCTTTTTCTTTGTTTTTTTCCTGGCAGGACTTTTTTGAGAGTTACATCTCCATCGCTTCAACCGTGCCCTCGGTGCTGTGCCTGATCGGAAACTTCTTGCTCGTCAA